TGACCGATAAACATTTCCACAAGTTGATAAGCCCACTGTGTTGTGGGCAGGTCGCTTCTGAAAAAGAGCGGTGTAGCTCAAGTGGGCTATGCCTGGTAAAATAAAAAAAAACGTAGAAATATTTAAAGTAAAAACAAAGTTTCAAAGTAGTGAGCCAGGTGAAGACAAATTAAACTTAAGAAGAGAAAGCAAATGCAATCAGGCGAGGGCAGGAGGCAAGGCCCCGCATGGCTAGGCCCCGCGTTGTAATGTTTCAACCTGGACATCGATTCCATACTCGGTGCTACTCAATTGATATCCCTACGAGGGAGAAGGAGCGAGGCTCTACCTGGGTTAATAACAACAACCACTACAACAACAACAACAACCACCACGATGTAAACTTCTCACCTCGGATCTCAGTGAGCGAGCGTGCGCGAAGCAGAAGCGACCTGATAACTCGTGACGTCATGTGGCAGCAGGAGGTGACATGACGTCACTTGCGGGGTTCACACAATCCTCTTCCCCAACGAGCAGCAGGGTAACTGAATACAGTATATTATAGTAATAGGTTTTTACCCTTTTAAACTGGTACAAAACTGACACCTTTATACAAGGCATCATGTTTGCAATAACCACAACACAAGTAGTCAAAAATGCAAACAAAAAAGCAACTCTGATAATGATAATATGCACTGTCCTTGAAGTTGATTGGTCCACACCCGAGACGGCTTTCTCTGATACTGCACTGTGTTTGAGTAGTACGCCTTCTGGTGTCATCTGGTTCTATGGCTCCCTCTCTTGAACAGAGACCCATTGGGTGCGTGAGCTCAACAATAACGTGAACATTGTGTGTGGACACTGTTTGTTGTCGCAGTCGGGGCACAGGTGGTGCATTGGCCAGTCATCTCAGTCAGTCGACCCATGAAACCTGGATGTGCCCCGTGCACATAGCCTGGCACAAGCGCCGTGGTGACGTCACCGCCACTTAGTGGCGAATGGCGGTTGTTACTGTGTGTATACACTGTGCGTGTACAGACTGTATACTGTGTGGGTAAATTGTGTCTACGCTGTGTACATGGTGTGTAGACCTTGTGGGTACACTGCGTGTGTACAGTGGGTGGTCCGAATCAGTCGGGCGGCATTATCTTTACATCGGCTGCGCTATGCTGTGTGGAAGCTACCTGGTCTGTCGCTCCGCATGAAGCTTCGGTTCTTCTCGGCCAGTTTTGCCCTCCCTTCTGTAGGCATGTGAAACGTGGACCCCTCTAAATGGAACATCTGCGCCGGTTAGAAACATTCAGGCTGTCATGCCTACACTCAGATTGAGGGAAGCCAAGTAGAAGCACATTCTCTATTTATTGCAGAGGTTCAAGGTTCAAATCCGACAGGCACGTCTGGCTACTCCAGTAACATTTAACAAAATATGCACCGTCTGCTTAACAGTGGATGTAAAACATACGATTGTCATTCAAAACGCATAGGTCATTGCATGTTGGTGTCATGGTCAATATTTGGGCAATTTCAAACATGATCCAGAAATTACATAATGAAGATTACACATCAATCATCACCCCCTACTGACAGACTCATGCCCACATGCAGTTGACAGCAGTGTCACCTTATGACACAGAGGCAGCTGCCACTTGAAGGTGCTCTTCGAGTGTTTGTGATGAGATATGAAACTGAGTTGCTGAGGCAATTAAACACCATATCAATGCAAATATAAACAGTGGAATACTTGGAAGCTTATTGGCTCTTGCTCCTGATTCTTCATCTACCCAACCCACAGGTCAACAAATACTCGCCGCTCTTACTCTGCAGGTTGAACCCAGGAATTCAGTGTTCAATTTCACGTTCTTTTCATTAAAGGCCTGTGACAAAGGTGCATCTATTGGAGCTTCATTGTCTCAAGCCTACCATCTACCGGGTCTCCATTTGACTTTGTATTGTCTAAGAAGTCCACCCACACCTCCACTTCCACAAACTGCTGGGAGTTGCCTAGCTCTGCTCGCAGTCAGAATTCTCCTCCTGCTTCACGTTGTCTCCATCGAGCCGATTTATATTCCCACAGAGCCAAGCCACAACATTTGGCTGTCGTCTGATGAAGCTGGTTGGAATTACTGTCAAAACGTTGTACTTAGATTGTAAATGTTGTGGCTTGGCTCTCCAACACACCGATGAGATGTACTAGTACACTACACTACACACTAGTGCTGTACTAGTGACGCATTGGGCACGTTTTGTTTACCTGACAAACCTCTTACTAAATGGCTGTGTCGGGTGGTGGCGGGGTTAACGGCACATTGATTTATTTACGCGATCAATCCCAAACAAACCTGTATTATGGCTGTATATTTGGAGTTTGCGTGTCCCTCTCTCTCCGTGGTCGCGTGGATTCTCCTCCGGATCCTGCGGTTTTCCCTGCACATTTAGAGTCAACATCACCACGCGTTTAGAGTATTTGACCGATAAACATTTCCACAAGTTGATAAGCCCACTGTGTTGTGGGCAGGTCGCTTCTGAAAAAGAGCGGTGTAGCTCAAGTGGGCTATGCCTGGTAAAATAAAAAAAAACGTAGAAATATTTAAAGTAAAAACAAAGTTTCAAAGTAGTGAGCCAGGTGAAGACAAATTAAACTTAAGAAGAGAAAGCAAATGCAATCAGGCGAGGGCAGGAGGCAAGGCCCCGCATGGCTAGGCCCCGCGTTGTAATGTTTCAACCTGGACATCGATTCCATACTCGGTGCTACTCAATTGATATCCCTACGAGGGAGAAGGAGCGAGGCTCTACCTGGGTTAATAACAACAACCACTACAACAACAACAACAACCACCACGATGTAAACTTCTCACCTCGGATCTCAGTGAGCGAGCGTGCGCGAAGCAGAAGCGACCTGATAACTCGTGACGTCATGTGGCAGCAGGAGGTGACATGACGTCACTTGCGGGGTTCACACAATCCTCTTCCCCAACGAGCAGCAGGGTAACTGAATACAGTATATTATAGTAATAGGTTTTTTACCCTTTTAAACTGGTACAAAACTGACACCTTTATACAAGGCATCATGTTTGCAATAACCACAACACAAGTAGTCAAAAATGCAAACAAAAAAGCAACTCTGATAATGATAATATGCACTGTCCTTGAAGTTGATTGGTCCACACCCGAGACGGCTTTCTCTGATACTGCACTGTGTTTGAGTAGTACGCCTTCTGGTGTCATCTGGTTCTATGGCTCCCTCTCTTGAACAGAGACCCATTGGGTGCGTGAGCTCAACAATAACGTGAACATTGTGTGTGGACACTGTTTGTTGTCGCAGTCGGGGGCACAGGTGGTGCATTGGCCAGTCATCTCAGTCAGTCGACCCATGAAACCTGGATGTGCCCCGTGCACATAGCCTGGCACAAGCGCCGTGGTGACGTCACCGCCACTTAGTGGCGAATGGCGGTTGTTACTGTGTGTATACACTGTGCGTGTACAGACTGTATACTGTGTGGGTAAATTGTGTCTACGCTGTGTACATGGTGTGTAGACCTTGTGGGTACACTGCGTGTGTACAGTGGGTGGTCCGAATCAGTCGGGCGGCATTATCTTTACATCGGCTGCGCTATGCTGTGTGGAAGCTACCTGGTCTGTCGCTCCGCATGAAGCTTCGGTTCTTCTCGGCCAGTTTTGCCCTCCCTTCTGTAGGCATGTGAAACGTGGACCCCTCTAAATGGAACATCTGCGCCGGTTAGAAACATTCAGGCTGTCATGCCTACACTCAGATTGAGGGAAGCCAAGTAGAAGCACATTCTCTATTTATTGCAGAGGTTCAAGGTTCAAATCCGACAGGCACGTCTGGCTACTCAAGTAACATTTAACAAAATATGCACCGTCTGCTTAACAGTGGATGTAAAACATACGATTGTCATTCAAAACGCATAGGTCATTGCATGTTGGTGTCATGGTCAATATTTGGGCAATTTCAAACATTATCCAGAAATTACATAATGAAGATTACACATCAATCATCACCCCTACTGACAGACTCATGCCCACATGCAGTTGACAGCAGTGTCACCTTATGACAGAGGCAGCTGCCACTTGAAGGTGCTCTTCGAGTGTTTGTGATGAGATATGAAACTGAGTTGCTGAGGCAATTAAACACCATATCAATGCAATATATATAACAGTGGAATACTTGGAAGCTTATTGGCTCTTGCTCCTGATTCTTCATCTACCCAACCCACAGGTCAACAAATACTCGCCGCTCTTACTCTGCAGGTTGAACCCAGGAATTCAGTGTTCAATTTCACGTTCTTTTCATTAAAGGCCTGTGACAAAGGTGCATCTATTGGAGCTTCATTGTCTCAAGCCTACCCATCTACCGGGTCTCCATTTGACTTTGTATTGTCTAAGAAGTCCACCCACACCTCCACTTCCACAAACTGCTGGGAGTTGCCTAGCTCTGCCTCGCAGTCAGAATTCTCCTCCTGCTTCACGTTGTCTCCATCGATGTGAAGGTACGATTTTGGAGTTGAATCTTCATCTTCACAGTTTACCGTCACTTTTTCGCTCTTCACCATCACTTCACATTTCACCTTCACTTCTTCGCTCTTCATCACTTCTTCACATTTCACCTTCGCCTCTTCACATTTCACCTTGATACCTTTAAAAGTGTCCAAGCTGGGATTCACTTCTGGTTTCATGAGGGATGGGCTCATTGCAGCACTTTGACTTTCACAAGCCGATTTCAGACTCCATTTCTTGGGGATCTTCTGATGCTTGTGTGTCCTCTGGTGTCTTTTAAGAATTGATGACTGTGCAAACGCCTTCCCACACAGAGTGCAACTGAAGGGTTTCTCTCCCGTGTGTGTTCTCTGGTGTCTATGAAGACCTGATGACTGTGCAAATGCCTTGTCACACACAGTGCACTTGAAGGGTTTCTCTCCCGTGTGTGTTCTCTGGTGTAATTGAAGATGTTGTGAATGTGCAAACGCCTTCCCACACACAGTGCACTTGAAGGGTTTCTCTCCAGTGTGTGTTCTCTGGTGTAATTTAAGATATGGTGATTGTGCAAACGCCTTCCCACACAGAGTGCAACTGAAGGGTTTCTCTCCTGTGTGTGTTCTCTGGTGTATTTTAAGATGTTGTGAATGTGCAAACGCCTTCCCACACAAAGTGCAACTGAAGGGTTTCTCTCTCGTGTGAGTTCTCTGATGTAATACAAGAGCAGATGACTGTGAAAACGCCTTCTCGCACAGACTACACTTGAAGGGTTTTTCTCCTGTGTGTGTTATCCGGTGTTTTTTAAGAGGAGATTTATCTGAAAATGCCTTCCCACACACACTGCACTTGAAGGGTTTATCTCCCGTGTGTGTTCTCTGGTGCGATACAAGACCAGATGACTGTGAAAACGCCTTCCCGCACAGACTGCACCTGAAGAGTTTCTCTCCCGTGTGTGTTCTCTGGTGGTTCCTAAGAACTGATGAATGTGAAAATGCCTTGTCACACACAGTGCACTTGAAGGGTTTCTCTCCTGTGTGTGTTCTCTGGTGTATTTTAAGATTTTGTGAACGTGCAAACGCCTTCCCACACAGAGTGCAACTGAAGGGTTTCTCTCCCGTGTGTGTTCTCTGATGTAATACAAGAGCAGATGACTGTGAAAACGCCTTCGCGCACAGACTGCACTTGAAGGGTTTTTCTCCTGTGTGTGTTCTCCGGTGTTTTTTAAGAGCAGATGAATATGAAAATGCCTTCCCACACACACTGCACTTGAAGGGTTTTTCTTCCGTGTGTGTTCTCTGGTGGTTCCTTAGAACTGATGGATATGAAAATGCCTTGTCACACACAGTGCACTTGAAGGGTTTCTCTCCTGTGTGAGTTCTCTGGTGCTGTGTTAAATGTCCAACACGATCCATGCTGTATGCACGCTGGTCGCGTTGTTGCCTTTTTGTACCGAGCTGCGCTGAGTGCCTTTGTTCCATCAAACCAATTCTGCAGAGGAAGCGTCAGCTGCAGACAGAAAAAAGAGAATATCCACACTATCTACGTCAGTATTGAGGCACAAAGGAATGCATATATACAGTCACACATGACTTGCATGTCTATACTCATTCATATATTCATGATAATATGAAAAAGATTCCCAAATTCATCACACGGGCACACAATTAGAGGGCCAATGGTCAACCTGGAAGCCCTAGTATCTTCAAAATGAATGTTAACCTAAAACTCCAAGCACACAATTTCAGTTTTCTGGCTACAAAAAGAATATTTATAAAAGAAAAATGCAGCTAACATAGAAAAGGGTGTTGAAAATAATACTATTTTTATTATGCAGAAATGCATAAATTAATGTTCAATCGCTAACTTAGAGGCATGAAGCCAGGCTCAGATTTCCTTGAATGCTGGGATGAACAGATCTAACTTCAGCTGCATATGTGCAGTGTTAATTTCCTGTTTCCATTCTCCTAAAAATTTCCAGAGGAAAAAAAGTATATACTATTGTTTTGATTTAACCTCCGTGTTCAATCGAGTTAATATACTTTACTGCAAATACAAACTTGACACTGTAACACACACTGGCATGGAAAAAAGGTGGTGGTGTGTTCAGAACCATGCCTGGCCACCTTCATATGCTCATTATTAATGCTTCCCCACAATAAGTTAAGTTTTCATGAATCAATCACGTTTGTTGTCAGAGATAATCAAACTTTAATTGTGATAACACTATGTAACACAATTTTTGTTCCTGGGTACTAAGTGTTATTTTTTTTATTGCTTATGCCTAAGAGTCTAGAAATTGGCTATTATTCCCCACAAATTTTGCTTTTGTGACCAGAATTGTACGTGAACGAAAATAACAAATTCACCTGTTTTTTCATTGAAAAGAGGTACATTTCTAAATATCACTGTCCTGGTCACAAAAGCAAAGTTTGTGGGGAATAGCCATTTTTTGTACTTAAGAGGCAAAAGCAATTAGGAAATAACACATACAGGAACAAGACATTTTTTTTGGTTACACAGTGGAAAAACTGCGCCACCGCTCCCCACATAGATAAACTCTTACATACACATATATTTCACATGAATGCCATGTAAGTGTGGATCACTTGTCAGCATGTCATGAGAATGATCCAGGTGTCAAGGGATGACTGACTGAGATGATTAACAGACGCACCAGCTGTGCTTCCTGCTGTCTTGCTGCATTTGAGGCACCCAGCGTTCCACCCATTCATGTGATCGTTGCTACTCCAACCTCATTGTTGTTGCAGAGCAAATACCTCCAACTCCCCTGCAGCATACGTCATGGGCCTCTTCGAGAGGCCGATCTTGACAGCAGGTCTGATCAACTCCACATCCTCCAATCTCTTCTCTAGCCAATGCCATGCCCGTTTAGCCCGTAACATCTGGACTAACAGAAGATGATTGTGCATGCTGTCTGTTTATGCGGAATTCATGACCCAACCAATGCAGCCTCCCTGCCAAAGTCTCAGATTATATTCTGTACTGATATTTTAGGGCTCTGTAAGGTTATAATACAATCTTGTTTGGTTCAATAGAGGGGATCATAGGCTGGCCAGTCTTAATTATAAGCCAGAACAGACGGTCCTTTAAATAAGTTAATATTTTGCATCTACAGAGAAAGGAGTAATATCTGTGGCCAAGAAGACTCGCAGCTTTGTTTGTTCGTTTATTTCTAAATCCTCTTGTCTTGGTGAGGGTTGTAGCGGCAGCAGATTTAGTAGGGCAGTCCAGACTTCCCTTTCCCTGGCGACAGACTCTGGATCTTCCTGGGGAATTCCCAGGCATTCCCAAATCAGCCAAGCGACATATTCCCACCAGCAAGTCCAGGCCCGGGCCCCGGGGACTTCCCTCAGTGGGACGTGCCCGATAGAGTTCCAGGGGCAGTCTATTGGGGGGCCTCGTTACAGATATTGTATATTGATATCACTCGTGGAATGAGGCCTGGTGGCTCGGTGACCCACGTAACCCATTTGGACCCAGCCTGGAATGGCTGCGTGGCACCGTCCTGTGCGCCCACCATCCACAGTACGAAGAGTGAGAGGCGGGTGCGATGCCAGTATGGCAGGGAGAGGGATGGTCTCAGACAGACTAGACCTTGGTGATGGACACTCACAGCTTTGTATGGCGCAAAAGTCCAGGCAGCTTCCACACAGTGTTACACAGTCTAATGAAAGAATGCTGCTAGACAAATTTAAAGTGAGACTTTGGCTGCCAAACCAGAGCTGGTCGTGAACACATTAACCAGGTATGGGAGCTCCTCCATTACTTGCAGAACTGCCTGATAACTCATGGAGAGTTGAGCAGGTACAGTGTTGTATGACATGAAATTCCCAGGCAGGTGATTTATTTTGGTGGAACATACGCAAGGCCACCTTTCATGATGGAATTATCCGGGCACAGAACGAGATTATCTAACCCGATCTCATTGAGTAGCCATTTCCAGATCATCAGCAGATATAACATGGTTGACCAGGGAACGATCCCTTAACTATAACCAGGCATCGATGCGCGTATCATTTTAACTGTAACGAATGCAATTATTTATATGGCTATTGTGAGCTTCTCAAATTACATAATTAATGAAGATGCTATGTAATGCAATGCATGGGGGCAGAGTGAATTTCTGTCACAAGCCAAATTGAACAGCAAATGGCTCCAACTCCTGGTCACGCAGCTTTAGACGGGCTTGCCCAAAATCATAAAAATCGTCAATGAATGTGAGCAGAGGCAGAGACATAAAAAACAAAGAACAACCCAAAGCCCCAAGCCTCGATATGGTACGATAGACCTTAATTACATAAAAAAGCAGAGACATTACTCTTAATGTTTGATTACTGAGACCTGAGCTAAGCCGGGTAACTTAGTTATTGCTGGATAAATACTATACTTCCGATGAAGTTTGTGTGTGAGTGGGGAGCAGTAGTGCAACGGTTAGCGTGCTGTGCTATGAACCCAGCGAGCCGATTTATATTCCCACAGAGCCAAGCCACAACATTTGGCTGTCGTCTGATGAAGCTGGTTGGAATTACTGTCAAAACGTTGTACTTAGATTGTAAATGTTGTGGCTTGGCTCTCCAACACACCGATGAGATGTACTAGTACACTACACTACACACTAGTGCTGTACTAGTGACGCATTGGGCACGTTTTGTTTACCTGACAAACCTCTTACTAAATGGCTGTGTCGGGTGGTGGCGGGGTTAACGGCACATTGATTTATTTACGCGATCAATCCCAAACAAACCTGTATTATGGCTGTATATTTGGAGTTTGCGTGTCCCTCTCTCTCCGTGGTCGCGTGGATTCTCCTCCGGATCCTGCGGTTTTCCCTGCACATTTAGAGTCAACATCACCACGCGTTTAGAGTATTTGACCGATAAACATTTCCACAAGTTGATAAGCCCACTGTGTTGTGGGCAGGTCGCTTCTGAAAAAGAGCGGTGTAGCTCAAGTGGGCTATGCCTGGTAAAATAAAAAAAAACGTAGAAATATTTAAAGTAAAACAAAGTTTCAAAGTAGTGAGCCAGGTGAAGACAAATTAAACTTAAGAAGAGAAAGCAAATGCAATCAGGCGAGGGCAGGAGGCAAGGCCCCGCATGGCTAGGCCCCGCGTTGTAATGTTTCAACCTGGACATCGATTCCATACTCGGTGCTACTCAATTGATATCCCTACGAGGGAGAAGGAGCGAGGCTCTACCTGGGTTAATAACAACAACCACTACAACAACAACCACCACGATGTAAACTTCTCACCTCGGATCTCAGTGAGCGAGCGTGCGCGAAGCAGAAGCGACCTGATAACTCGTGACGTCATGTGGCAGCAGGAGGTGACATGACGTCACTTGCGGGGTTCACACAATCCTCTTCCCCAACGAGCAGCAGGGTAACTGAATACAGTATATTATAGTAATAGGTTTTTACCCTTTTAAACTGGTACAAAACTGACACCTTTATACAAGGCATCATGTTTGCAATAACCACAACACAAGTAGTCAAAAATGCAAACAAAAAAGCAACTCTGATAATGATAATATGCACTGTCCTTGAAGTTGATTGGTCCACACCCGAGACGGCTTTCTCTGATACTGCACTGTGTTTGAGTAGTACGCCTTCTGGTGTCATCTGGTTCTATGGCTCCCTCTCTTGAACAGAGACCCATTGGGTGCGTGAGCTCAACAATAACGTGAACATTGTGTGTGGACACTGTTTGTTGTCGCAGTCGGGAGCACAGGTGGTGCATTGGCCAGTCATCTCAGTCAGTCGACCCATGAAACCTGGATGTGCCCCGTGCACATAGCCTGGCACAAGCGCCGTGGTGACGTCACCGCCACTTAGTGGCGAATGGCGGTTGTTACTGTGTGTATACACTGTGCGTGTACAGACTGTATACTGTGTGGGTAAATTGTGTCTACGCTGTGTACATGGTGTGTAGACCTTGTGGGTACACTGCGTGTGTACAGTGGGTGGTCCGAATCAGTCGGGCGGCATTATCTTTACATCGGCTGCGCTATGCTGTGTGGAAGCTACCTGGTCTGTCGCTCCGCATGAAGCTTCGGTTCTTCTCGGCCAGTTTTGCCCTCCCTTCTGTAGGCATGTGAAACGTGGACCCCTCTAAATGGAACATCTGCGCCGGTTAGAAACATTCAGGCTGTCATGCCTACACTCAGATTGAGGGAAGCCAAGTAGAAGCACATTCTCTATTTATTGCAGAGGTTCAAGGTTCAAATCCGACAGGCACGTCTGGCTACTCCAGTAACATTTAACAAAATATGCACCGTCTGCTTAACAGTGGATGTAAAACATACGATTGTCATTCAAAACGCATAGGTCATTGCATGTTGGTGTCATGGTCAATATTTGGGCAATTTCAAACATGATCCAGAAATTACATAATGAAGATTACACATCAATCATCACCCCCTACTGACAGACTCATGCCCACATGCAGTTGACAGCAGTGTCACCTTATGACACAGAGGCAGCTGCCACTTGAAGGTGCTCTTCGAGTGTTTGTGATGAGATATGAAACTGAGTTGCTGAGGCAATTAAACACCATATCAATGCAAATATAAACAGTGGAATACTTGGAAGCTTATTGGCTCTTGCTCCTGATTCTTCATCTACCCAACCCACAGGTCAACAAATACTCGCCGCTCTTACTCTGCAGGTTGAACCCAGGAATTCAGTGTTCAATTTCACGTTCTTTTCATTAAAGGCCTGTGACAAAGGTGCATCTATTGGAGCTTCATTGTCTCAAGCCTACCCATCTACCGGGTCTCCATTTGACTTTGTATTGTCTAAGAAGTCCACCCACACCTCCACTTCCACAAACTGCTGGGAGTTGCCTAGCTCTGCCTCGAAGTCAGAATTCTCCTCCTGCTTCACGTTGCCTCCATCGATGTGAAGGTACGATTTTGGAGTTGAATCTTCATCTTCACAGTTTACCGTCACTTTTTCGCTTTTCACCATCACTTTCTCACATTTCACCTTTACTTCTTCACTCTTCATCATTTCTTCACATTTCACCTTCGCCTCTTCACATTTCACCTTGATACCTTTAAAAGTGTCCAAGCTGGGATTCACTTCTGGTTTCATGAGGATGGGCTCACTGCAGCACTTTGACTTTCACAAGCCAATTTCAGACTCCATTTCTTGGGGATCTTCTGATGCTTGTGTGTCCTCTGGTGTCTTTTAAGAATTGATGACCGTGCAAACGCCTTCCCACACAGAGTGCAACTGAAGGTTTTCTCTCCCGTGTGTGTTCTCTGGTGTAATTGAAGATGTTGTGAATGTGCAAACGCCTTACCACACACAGTGCACTTGAAGGGTTTCTCTCCCGTGTGTGTTCTCTGGTGTAATTTAAGATATGGTGATTGTGCAAACGCCTTCCCACACAGAGTGCAACTGAAGGGTTTCTCTCCCGTGTATGTTCTCTGGTGTGCTTGAAGATGTGATGATTGTGCAAACGCCTTCCCACACAAAGTGCAACTGAAGGGTTTCTCTCCCGTGAGTTCTCTGGTGTATTTTAAGATGTTGTGAATGTGCAAACGCCTTCTCACACAGATTGCAACTGAAGGGTTTTTCTCCTGTGTGTATTATCCAGTGTTTTTTAAGAGTAGATTTACGGGAAAATGCCTTCCCACACACACTGCACTTGAAGGGTTTATCTCCCGTGTGTGTTCTCTGGTGTGATACAAGACCAGATGACTGTGAAAACGCCTTCCCGCACAGACTGCACTTGAAGGGTTTCTCTCCTGCGTGAGTTCTCTGGTGCTGTATCAGATGTTTAACATGATCCGTGCTGTATGCACACTGGTTGCATTGTTGCCTTTTTGCACCGAGCTGTGCTGAGTGCCTTTGCTCCATCAGACCAATTCTGCAGAGGAAGTGCCAGAGGAAGCATCAGCTGCAGACAGAAAAAAATTAATATCCAGACCATCTACGTCAGTATAGAGGCACAAAAGAATGCATATATACACAGTCACACATGACTTGGACGTCTATACTCATTCATATATTCATGATAAGAGTGAAAAAGATTCCCAAATTCATCACATGGGCACACAATGAGAGGGCAAATGGTCAGCCTGGAAGCCCTAGTATCTTAAAAATGACTGTTAACCTAAAACTCCAAGCACACAATTTCAGTTGTCTGGCTACAAAAGGAATATTTATGAAAGCAAAATGCAGCTAACGTCATAAAGGGTGTTGAAAATAATACTATTTGTATTATGCAGAAATGCATAAATTAATGTTCAATCACAACTTAAAGGTGTGAAGCCAGGCTCAGATTTCCTTGAATGCTGGGATGAACAGATCTAATTTCAGCTGCATATGTGCTGTGTTAATTTCCTGTTTCCATTCTCGTAAAAAGTTCCAAAGGAAAACTAAAATAAACTATTGTTTAGATTTAACCTCTGTGTTCAATCGAGTTAATATACTTTACAGCAAATACAAACTTGACACTGTAACACACAATGGCATGGTAAAAAGGTGGTGTGTTCAGAACCATGCCTGGCCACCTTCATATGCTCCGTAATAATGCTTCCCCACAATAAGTGAAGTTTTCACCAATCAATCACGTTTGCTGTCAGCGATAATCAAACTTTAATTGTGATAACACTATGTAACACAATTTTTGTTCCTGGGTACTAATTGTTATTTTTTTATTGCTTATGCCAAAATGTCTAGAAAATGGCTTATTCCCCACAAACATTGCTTTTGTGACCAGAATTATACAAGAACTAAAAAAACTAATTCACCTATTTTCGCATTGAAAAGAGATACATTTCTAAATATCACTGTCCTGGTCACAAAAGCAAAGTTTGTGGGGAATAATATCCATTTTTTGTACTTTAGAGGCAAAAGCAATTAGGAAATAACACATACTACCCAGGAACAAATGTTTTTTTTGTTACACAGTAGAAAAACTGCGCCACCGCTCCCCACATAAACTCTTCCATACACATATATTTCACATGAATGCCATGTAAGTGTGGATCACTTGTCAGCAGGTCATGGGAATGATCCAGGTGTCAAGGGTTGACTGAAATGATTAACAGATGCACCAGCTGTGCATCCTGCTGTCTTGCTGCATTTGAGGCACCCAGCATTCCACCCATTCATGTGAGCATTGCTACTCCAACCTCATTGTTGTTGCAGAGCAAATACCTCCAACTGCCCTGCAGCATACGTCCCGGGCCTCTTCGAGAGGCTGATCTTGACAGCAGGTCTGATCAACTCCACATCCACCAATCTCTTCTCTAGCCAATGCCATGCCCGTTTAGCCCGTAACATCTGGACTAACAGAAGATGATTGTGCATGCTGTCTGTTTATGCGGAATTCATGACCCAACCAATGCAGCCTCGCCTGCCAAAGTCTCAGATGATATTTTGTACTGATATTTTAGGGCTCTGTAAGGTTATAATACAATCTTGTTTGGTTCAATAAAGGGGATCATAGGGAGGCCAGCCTTAATAAAAAGCCAGAACATACAGTCCTTAAAATAAGTTCATATTGTGCATCCACAGAGAAAGGAGTAATATCTGTGGTCAAGAAGACTGACAGCTTTATTCGTTCATTAATTTCTAAATCCTCTTGTCTTGGTGAGGTTTGTGGTGGCAGCACATTCAGTAGGGCAGTCCAGACCTCCCTTTCCCTGGCGACAGACGAGCTCTTCCTGGGGAATTCCCAAGCGTTCCCAAAGCCAGCCAAGCGACGTATTCCCACCAGAATGTCCTGGGCCAGGCCCTTGGGACGTCCCCCAGTGGGACGTGCCTGGTAGAGTTCCAGGGACAGTCTATTAGGGGGCATCCTTACAGATATTATATATTGATATCACTCATGGAACGATGCCTGGTGGCTAGGTGACCCAAAATCAGGTCTGTCGACACCTGGTTTTCACCTGAGGACGGCTGCTTGCGTTGTGGCCGAAACGTCGTGAGAATTATTTTATTATGTTTTATTTTGATTAGTTTATTACTTCCCTTCTACGTGACTTTACCGAAAGAACCAAGACGACTTCCACACGTTGATAAGCCCACTGCGTTGTGGGCAGGTCGCGTCTGAAAACGAGCGGTGTAGCTCAAGTGGGCTATGCCTGGTAAATAAAATAGTAGAAATATTTAAAGTAAAACAAAGTTTCAAAGTAGTGAGCCAGGTGAAGACAAATTAAACTTAAGCAGAGAATTAAAGCAAATGCAATCAGGCGAGGGCAGGAGGCAAGTCCCCGCATGGCTAGGCCCCGCGTTGTAATGTTCCAACCTGGACATCGATTCCATACTCGCTGCTACTCAATTGATATCCCTACGAGAAGGAGCGAGGCTCTACCTGGGTTCACAACATCAACAACCACCACAACAACAACAACCACCACGATGTAAACTTCTCACCTCGGATCGCAGTGAGCCAGCGTGCGCGGAGCTGCAACTACCTGGTAACTCGTGACGTCATGTGGCAGCAGGAGGTGACATGACGTCACTTGCGGGGTTCACACAATCCCCTCCCCCAACGAGCAGCAGGGTAACTGAATATATTATGTTAATGAGAGGGGCCCATGTCAGGTGATGGTGCTTGGCTGCTGACCCATCCCAAATAAGCATTGTACTGGAACGGAAATCGGCAGACGTGACGTCACGCTCAAAATCACGTTGGAGGGGGTAAATACCTCGGTGACATGACGTCACTAGTGGGGGACACCTCCCCCTCGCATATAATGCCGAGTTAATGAGGGGTGACGTCAGAGAGCGA